TCAAAACGAGTCAACAGAATGAATTAGGCCAGAGAGCACCAACATGACTCCATGGGGGAAACTGCTTTTGAATTTATTTACGTGCTGCTTATCAGTGGCAAAGCTGAACAGTCTGGATTGTCACTGGTGGAAGATGGTGTAGCCTGTCACTCTAGGCCACTTGCTCTTCAAAATCTCAGGATTCCCTGGCGAACCTGCAGTTCTGGGCCCAGGCTTGTGGGCCTCAAGGCAGGTCTATGCTTCCCTCCTGGGAAGGAATGCTGGGGTCACATTGCTGGGACTGTCAGAAAAGATAGCTGTTAGGGCAGGAAAGGGGGGAAGGGGAAAGGAAAGGAGAGTTTTATCTCACCCTCTGAACAAAGAAGTCAGCAGTTCACAGGGAAGGAAGGGAGAGTTTTATCTCACCCACTAAACAAAGAAGTCAGCTACTGTAGGACTTGCCAAAGAAGATGACCAGATGTATGTACAAATATTCTGAGATAGCCACAACAATGTAGAAGGAGATTTTGAAACCTAGTCTGATACCCAAGATATTTGGCTGGGGAGCTTTGAAACCTGTAGGGGGAGCTTTAAAACCTCTTGAACCCCCCCCCCCCCCACAGGTGTTGGGGCACTCAGAGTAGCTGAGTTCCCCCCCCCCCCCCGGGTGTTGAGGCACTCAGAGTAGCTGAGTTGTCTACTTGTGCTTTACACCAAGTGGATTTTTAATAAATTTGCTTGCTTTCCATCCTTAATAAATTTGGTTGCTTTGCTTCAATGCTGCTTTTTGTCACTCGTTTGAATTCCTTCTTGCAAGATTGACAGGAGCTGAAGAGGGTTGTCTGGTAACAGGACCAGTGTGAAGGAGCCACATCAACTGGTTGCCTCCTGCTTAACCCTGACCAGGGCCGTGATTGAACCGCAACCGAGGTACGTGCCCTTGACCAGAATCGAACCCACGACTCTTTGGTCCACGGGCCAACACTCTAACTGCTGAACCAAACCGGCCAGGGACTTTTATTCAAAAAATTTTTTCTTCTTTATTGATTTTAGAGAGGATGGGAAAGGGAGAGAGATAGAAACATCAATGAAAGAACATCGACTGGCCACCTCCTGGATGTCCCCCACTGGGGATCAGGCCCACAACCTGGGCATGTGTCCTGACTAGGAGTCAAACTGATGACGCCCTGGTGCATGGGTTGATGCTCAACCACTGAGCCACACCGGCTTGGCTTACCATTGATTTTTAAAGAGAGAAATATGAATTGTTTCACGTACTCAAGCATTCATTGGTTGATTCTTTTTTTTTTTTTCCCCGTTAATTGATTTTAGAGAGATGGAAGGGAAGAGAAACATCGATGAGAGAGAGCATCGTTTGGCCACCTCCTGCATGCCCCCCACTGGGCATTTGGCCCACAACCTGGACATGTGCCCTGATCAGGAATTGAACCGGCGACCTCTTGGTGCATGGGTTGATGCTCAACCACTGAGCCACACCAGCCAGGCCATTGGTTGATTCTTATATATGCCCTGACTGGGGATGGAACCTCCAACCTTGATATACTGTGATCACATGCTAACCAACTGAGCTACCCAGCCAGGGCCTGGATGAGAGTCCTTTCTAAAGCCCACTCTGGTTGTGTGTGTCCTTGTGGACTCCAGCCCAGCAGTAGGTGTGTCTGGAGTGACTGGCAGGTTCTGGATACCCGATAGAGCTGGTGTGTGTTCCAGGAGTGTGGAAGGGTGCTCAGCTCTGGGCAGTTAGGGTTCTGTTGTGTATCTGAATGCCTGGCCTCTCTCTAGCGTGCTCTCAGCCCGAGCTTTCTAAATCAGTGTGTTTAATCAAGTGTGTCAGGATGGCCTCTGCAAGGTTTTTGGGAAAACATTTTTGTATTAAAAATAGAATAAGGATTCAAGTGTAAAATTCACATGGATTTTTAAAGTAATCCACACGAGGCACTGCTTTGACTCGGAGCTGCTGAGCCTCAGAAGGGACATGTAATGTGTCCTTTGAGACCCTCCCCATCCTGTCCTTTTCCAGATAAGCCTCACATTTTGAGGCCCAGCCCCAGTGCCAGCTCCCCCATGCCCATTCTAGGCACCCCATCCAGGTTTGCTGTGCCCAGGCTCCTGCCCTTTTCCCTAACCCCCAGTTCCGCAGGCTCTCCTGCCCTTCCCACGTTTTCTGACCCACCTTTTCTCTCCAAGCTTTTTAGGCCTGGGTCACCTTTGTGTATCTCATGCTGCACAACATATTGTTGGCACTCAGTAAATGTCCTTTTTGCCCTGGCCGGTGTGGCTTGGTTTGAGTGTCATTCTGTACACCTAAAGGTAATGGGTTCGATTCCCGGTCAGGGTACCTACCTAGGTTTTGGGTTCAATCCCTGGTCACAGTGTGTATGAAAGGCAACAACCGATCAGTGTTTCTTTCCCTCTCTCCCTTCTTGTCTCAAAAACGAAAAAAGTCCTTTTCTTCTGCCAGGTCCCAGCTCCGAGTGCATTGCCTAGGTTGTGGCTTCTGTGGCCTTGAGTCCAGGGTCTGATCACACTGAGACTGGCCCTGAGGCCTAGGCGCCTTGTTACAAGTTGAGGCTCCCTGATGTTTCCTGAGGGTGGAGATGAACTTCGTCTCCTCTGATCTTTTCTACATAACCTTCTGCCAGCTGTCTGTGAGGCAGCAGTGAGATGATGAATAATTCCTGAGTTTGGTGATGTTCAAATGTCATGGTTCAGCTCTTTTCATACTTGGGGATAGAGAGGCTAGTGCCCCTCTATCCCATGTTCTGACAGCTTATTCCCTTTTTTTCTCAGACCTTGGCCCCTTTGTAGGAAATCGTGGTCATTCTTACTAGTAGGGAGGCTGCTGAAGTAACATTCTTCCAGAAGCTGGTCTGTGGGGTCCTTTAGCCTTGCTTGGAGAGCAGTAGAGGTCCAGAGGCTGGGAGGCAGGGGCTTGTGGGACAGTGTGTGATGAGTGCTTTCTTAGATGGGGGGTGGGGCTGGAGGATGAATTTGGGAAGTCTGTGTGGTTGGAATACTGTCCTGGGGGACAGGAAGTTGATGGTGGGGGAGAGGAGGACTGGGTGGTGACTGCAGATAGGGCGGAGTGCCAGGCCTACAGGAGAGAAGGGCACAGAGGTGCTCTGGGCTGAACAAGGACTGCACACAGTCCACCAAGACTCCAGGTCCAAGTGCCTCCAGTCTGGAAACCTAATTGATCTAAGAACAGAAATTTTGTGAAGGTGGACCTAGGGAAGAAACCCTTGAAACTATGAAATTTTACTACTCAAATTCCAGAATTTAATGTTCATGAATGAAAAGTAGGGTCCTAACATGGAGTATTGCTTTGTGGTCAAGAGGCTGCCTGCTTCTTGTGTCTCTGGGCTCTAGGGCCTGTGGGCATGTCACATCTAAGAGGTTTAGGAGTTTCCACCATGCCATCTCCCCTGCAGAGATGCCTGATTCATTCCTGGGGCTGTGGCCAACCAGCTGCTCTTGAGTTCTTCGTGGCCCTTACCTGCTAAGGACCTCTTGTGAGCCCCGGGAGCCATTTTCTAGACAGGGAGGCCACACTGAGTCTCAGACTGGTTTAGAGTCACAGTCTTCAGGGTGGAGACCTTGGCACTCTTTGCCTTCCTCGGGGCCACTGGTCCAGGTACCAGGCTCTGCCTGGGGAGGGCAGGCCAGCTTGCGGGAGGGAGCAGGATTCTCGATAGGCGGAGTGCTCTGATGGGAGGGAGAAGCTGTTTGGTCCCTCATCCACCCAGTGGTCCCACTGGAAGACTGCCTGGATGGGGTCATACTCATCAACCCAAATCAAATATGCAGCTGACATATCTTCAGTGTCCTGGCAGCATCAGATCCATTGCCTTAGTGGATCCTAGTCCCTGTCACACATCCCTATACCAGTGTGGCTTGTTTGCCATAGCCTCTCACATGCCTGTTAACTCTGCGCAGCCTTCACAGAGTCCACTCTGGTGGTGTCATTGTATGGGGACTGCCCCCAACCTAGTGTATACCTCCCCTGGCCACGGCTGCAACAGCCAGAGAGGCTGTGGTTGGAATGGACTCTGAAGACTCTCCAGTGGGCAGCAAGGGGTCCCTGACCCTCAGAAAGGCCCCCAGTCCTGGGGGTGGAGCCAGGGCTGGCCCAGGTGTAGGAGGACCCTCTAATGGTCTGTTTTGTCAACAGCTTGGACTCCGGGACCACTGCCCAATGGGTGAGCCTCCATTGGTGGTCAGCAGTCACTGTGAAACTCTGGGGCAAACGAGGTTCTGTTCCATGTGCCTCTGATCCGGGCCATCGTCCCTGACCCCCATTCCTGCACACTTGCCCAGGGAGGAACCCCAAAACACAAAGGGCAAGCCCTGGCTGCAGAGGTCAATGTCTCGGTGTCATTCAGAAGTGGACCTGTCAGTGTCAGCCCTGCCTTTAAGAGTTTTCCACAGAGGAGAGTCTGTTAGTCACTCTTGAGGGATAGTTTCTAAAATGGAAAAGGATTAGCTTTTCTTTAAAATTTTTTTTTTTCCTTTATTGATTTTTCAGAGAGAGGAAGTGAGAGGTGAGAGGGGAGAGAGATAGAAACATTGATGAGAGAGAACATTGATTGGCCGCCTCCAGTGTGCTCCCCCACTGGGGATCAAGCCCATAACCTGGGCATATGTCCTGCCAGGAATCAAACTGGCAACCTCTTGGTGCATGGGTCGACGCTCAACCACTGAGCCACATTGGCCGGATGGATCAGCTTTTCTTTATAAATCTTTGGAGCTGTGAGGAAAGAGTCCCCATACATACATTTGTCTCATAGTGAATGAAGGAAGCTTACTTAATTACAAAGCAGAGCTTAAACTTGGCTTAGACCTGAAATGGTAACATCAGGGTTGGAGGCTGCAGATGGCAGGAGACATCAGCACTACTTAGGAGTTCACTAAAGTGCAATGAATTTTGACCTGGTTGTGGGTTAGCTGTGGAACCGCTGCATTCTTGTCCACGATTCATGTTGGTGCTTTATTCTTTGTAGGATGAAACAGGTGCCTATTTAATCGACAGAGATCCCACCTATTTTGGGCCTGTGCTGAATTACCTGAGACATGGAAAGCTGGTCATTAACAAAGACCTTGCAGAGGAAGGTGAGTTGAGGGCAGGATCTGGTGACGGTGGCAACTGGACCCCTTTCTGGGCCTGAGCAGGCCCTGTGCACCAGGCTGGTGTTCGAGTGCCCATGCCCCCTGCAGAAGTCCTAGGTGCCCAAGTCCCCTCACTTGCCCCGTGCTTTCTCACAAACATGTCCCATGGGGCAGCAGATGCTGATCTCAGAGAGGTGAGAAGGCTGTTTGGTACGGCCTCTTCCTTTCTGTCCTCCAAGAAGCAAAGGCTCATTAGAACCAGGCTGGCCTGTCAGGACCGCTGTAGCAGAAGGGCCTGGGGACTTCGATCCAGGACCCTGCAACCCCACTTCCTGACTACAGCCCCTGGTTGTGGGTGGATCCAAGGGCTCCCTTGGTGTCTAGTTAGTGATACATGAGGGTGGGGCTCCTCCCTTGGGAGACCACCCATTTCCACAGGTGCTTTGGCTAAAACAGTCTGAGGGTCATGTGTTAGGAATGTGCCCACCATGCGAGTCTCCTGGGTGTCTCAGAGTCTCAGTCACCCCAGGTCTGCTCTCTTTCCAGGGCACCACTGTGCCATCACCTCTGAATTCTGTCTGCGTTCCCAAGTGCTGTACTACGTTCCAACTCTCTGTCACAAAGAGCAGCAGGTGCAGCCCTGTGGGCACCAGGTCGGAGGCTGGTGTCTGCATGTTCTGGTGTGGGCTTGGCTTCAAGCACCAGGGAGATCTGGAGAGGTTCAGGACACTGTGACACAGAGTGGGCTCTGGCTTCTCTGCTCTGTTTGCGTCCTGGAATGACTGCCAGTACTGAACTGTGTCCTCCCTCAGCTCTCATCACGTCTTACTCAACATCTTTCTGGGCCTCTGGACCCCCTTTTTTTTTGTTCACACACTTGTATGGTTTGGGGTGCCTTTCCTTTGTGTTGTGTGTGGGCAGCTGTATAATTCGAGGCTAAACTTCACAGCCTCTTCTCAATGCGATTTGCTCAGAAAGGGCTACTTGATGTGACCAAGCCCTGCCACTTGGCCTTGCTCACCTGCCTTCCTGCCGGACTCAGACAGTTTTTCAGGAGAAACGCCCATGTGAACACCATTTCCCGGTTCTGCCCTTCCAAGTATAGTGCTTGGAGTGTCCAGGTGGAAGAAAGATGTGCGCTTTAGCCCTGGCCGGTTTGGCTCAGCAGTAAGAGCATCGCCCGAGGACCAAAGAGTCCCAAGTTCAATTCTGGCCATGGGCACGTACCTTGGTTGCGGATCGTTCCCAGCCCTGGTTGGGGTTGTGCGGATGGTAACCAATCGATTTCTCTCTCTCTCTCTCTCTTCCTTCCTTTCTTCCTCCAGCTCTATCTGAAGATTAATGTAAAAAATATCCTCGGGTGAGGATTTTAAAAAAAAAAAAAAAAAGATGTGCCCTTTAGGCCCAAGCACTTGTCCTAAAGCTTCTGGTGCTCATTTGCAATGCCCCTCAGTCCCATCAGTCCCTACCCATGGATCTGAAGAGGGGAGGTGTTGACAGTCGCCTCGGGTCATCCTGAGAAGTGACAATCTAGATGCAGCCTCTCTTTGGGTGGCCCTGAAGAAAGACATCCTGCCTGGCAGGCTGCTGCCTGCCCCCACCTTTACCCTCTGTTGCCTCACCTGGGGACCTTGTTAAGGAGGCAGCATGAGTGGTCCAGCAGCCAGAGTCCCCAGCTCTGAGTTCCTGGTGCTGCCAGTGGAGGAACCGTACCATGCAGAGTAAGGTCCAGTCAGGATGACCAAGCATAGCAGCCGAAGGCACACTCTGAACCCTCTGGAATACCCATGGGGAATCCCTGAAGCAGAGCCCCTCCAATTTGTTCATTAGAATTCTTAGAGATTTTGAGTGCATCACAAATGGCTATCTTTGGGGAAAAAAGGAGTTCCTAAGTTGACGAGTTCGGGGGTGAGGAGCCACTCCCTCAACCAGCCACAGGCTGATGCTTCAATAGGGAAACCCCGAGGTGCTGAGTGACTCCGAGACCTGCATGAGGCTACCTGGCCAGGCCTGGGCCTCTTGTGGAAGGGAGGGAAGAATTGGCCAGCCCAGAGCAGGCAGCTGCAGGCTGTGGAGGGGAAATGCCAGTGTTTCAGCTCATGTGCCCAGCATGGAGCTTGCAGACCACACACGTAGACCTGTGTGAACCACCTGGTTTGTATGTGAGTTCTGCACCCAGCATGTCACTTGGAGGGGGGTTCATGTAGGAGTGTGTTCAATAAACACATCTTTCTCCATCTGAGCCCTCTGCCCTCCGTCCTGGGGAGCCCTGCCGAGAGCCAACAGTATCTGCGTGGAGACTGTTGGGGTGTTAGGGTGGGGGCTGAGGAGTCTTTAGTGGGCTAGGCATAGGCCACAGGTCCACAGCGGGGCTGAAATGAAATGCTTCTACTTTAATTTGGTGAAGATTATAGTTATTTTTCTCTATTCCAGGAGTTTTGGAGGAAGCAGAATTTTACAATATCACCTCACTAATAAAACTTGTAAAGGACAAAATTAGAGAACGAGACAGCAAAACATCACAGGTGAGACCAGTGACGAATGTGCTGGAAGCTTCCAAGACCTGGTGCATATGTGCAGCTCCTTCCCCTTCCTCCTCACTGACCAAGGGCAACTGGTCAGCTTCCTGGTGAGGCCTTGGGATCTGGCTGTCTTATCTTGTTGACCATCTTCCTCTGAAATTGTCCTAGCACCTAATGGCACTGTGGCAGGCATGAAGGGTGAGTTCATCTAGCCTATCCTCAGGACACCCAACTCCAGTGAAAGAGACAGACAGCCGCTGGGGAGGAAAGTCAAGTCCAGTGAGGTTGAGGAGGTGGCAGGGAACAGGGAAACTTCTGAGGGGAAGTGACTGGACATTGCAGGCAGGGCATTAAAGTGCAAGGGGCCAGTGGGCTGTGTGCTTGCCCATACAGAGGGCCAGTGTGTGTGTGTGTGTATGGAGGGGAGCAAAGTGGAGAGCTGGTCTTGGGCTGGGGGCAGGCAGTGGAGGCGGGAGTCTGTATACCTGTGTCTGTGCGATGAGGACTCAGCTTTACTGGGAAATGAGAGCTTGCTCGGTTTTCTTTGTGCCGTTTGTGTGCCTGGTGGTGCTGGAGCCAGCACAGCCACTCTGCTGCCCATTAGGCCAGTGCTGTGTGAAGTGGCCTGTGTCCGTCACCTCCGTGAAGAGATGGGCCAGCTCCTTGCCAGAGAGCACAGCAGTAAGCCCATGCCCAGTGAGTGCAGTTCCTCCGGGATGCCGTGAAGTGGATGGTCCCTCAGAACTGCCTTTTTTGTTTCAGGTTTTTAATAAGAGAAAGTTTATTCAGAAAGTCACAGAGGTAGAAGAAGTAAACTGTAGAAAAATGGGCTCAGGAAACGTAGGCAAAAGAAGGGCCCTTGGAGCTGAGGAGAGAGGCAAGGAAAACATGCCCTGGGGGAAGTCAGGGACTTGTTCCATAGAGAGAGCCGCCAGGGCTGTGGTTATTATCTGGGTCTTTGTCCACTTAAAACCCTTTTGCACACCTCCCTTCCCCAGCTAGGCACTGGCAGACACCGAGCCAGAGCTCTTGGCCTTTGTGAAAAGGCTCGCTGACAGCCTGGCCACTCAGAGTGGCTGGTCAGGGGCTGGGCCTAGGGGGAGGCCCACTGCAGTGACAGGTTGGGACCACCACCCACACAGCTCCCATTTGTCCAATGGAGTCGCTTGGGCACCAGGACAGTTGGGAGCAGACATGAGAGTTTCCTGATCATCTCCAGCTAGTTGGCCTCCCCCATCCAGCAGCCCCACTTAATGAGCCAGGTGACCTGGGCCGACACAACCTGTGTTCCTCAGTCTTCCCTTGCATAGTGGCATAGTGGACGTAGAGGAGCCCCTTGACACAGGGCCAAGAGAGAATTAGGGCTCAGGCTGGGTAGTACTCCAGTGTCACTGTCTCACAAATGAAAGCAGTACTTCAGGCTGTGATCCTGTCACTTGATTGTCACTGCCAGAGAACAGCCTGGCATTCCTGTGGCCCCTTCCCCTTGGTTACACATGTGTTGTGTGTGGTGGCTGCCTCCTCCTGCTGGAGTAGCTGCTCCATGAGGGCAGACCCCCTCAGGACTTCCTAGCACCAGACAAGCCTGAAACAGAGCTCAGGGACGGTCAGGTGATGGCTGGCTCAAAAGATATGGCAGTTTTTTGGAAGCTAGTTCAGTCCAAAGGAGGGCTCTTATCTGAGCTGCTGTGTGTGACTAAAAGCTTTGCTATGAGCAGGGGCTGGGTTGGTCCTGCATTGTTCTCAGGCCTCCCCGTCAGTCCCTCCCGAGCTGGTGGATTCAGGGTCTTTGTGTGGTTCCCCTGTAGAACAAAGATGGATGTCCTCATGCAGTCATGTTTAGATACAGTAGATACAGGTGCTCTTGGCATTTTAGGAGCATGACTTGTTTTATTTTGGAATGTAGAAATAGAAATATGTTTGAAGGGAGACGAGGAAACAAGAAATGGCAGCTGTTCCAGCCTGTTTGTTTTGTTTTGGTGTATGTGTTTGGGGCTGCTTTAGGCATCATGACCTGAGCCTGAGGTGGAAAGAAACGGTAACCTCACCAGGCCTGTCTCCAGAATCAGCAACCCAGGCAAGGTTGGTGGACTGAGGCTGGGAGCAGCAGAGTATGTGGGGCCTATCTCACCTGTGACCCTTGTTCTTGCAGGTGCCCGTGAAACATGTGTACCGTGTGCTTCAGTGTCAGGAGGAGGAACTCACGCAGATGGTGTCCACCATGTCCGATGGCTGGAAGTTTGAGCAGGTGAAGCCCCCTCTTCCTGTTATTGATGTGAGCCTGTTAATTACAATGGCCCCACCTGGGTCTTCAGGGTTGCTGGCCCCAGGGACCAGTAAGTAATGAGGCATTGGGTGCCTGTGGTTCCTGGAAATGTGGTTCCTCTCGAAAACAGCAGCCTGTGCCTTGGCATCTGGATGGGGAGGGTAGAGTTGTTCTTAGAGCACCTCTCCTCTGCTTCCTCCCCATTCATTCTGCAGTTATTCTTGCTCTAGCTCATTCTTTAGGGGGATTGTTTTCTGAGCTTCTGTCTTATATCTAGTGTGTGTGTACTTGACATTCTGACCACATCCCAGCCTGGCCCCACCTCCCTGTCCCACCTGTCTACCTGACTCCTCCTGTGCTGACTTGGGCTCTTTTGTGCTGGTGGTGGCATGGATGGCCTTCCCAGTGGGACTGCTCTTCAGCCCTCCAGCCTCCAGCCCCTTTCCTGCCCTTGACTAGAAAGATGCTGCTGATGCTGGCCTGGCTGTGCCCCTCCACTTTCCTCAGCTCTGCTCTTGCCATAGACTGGGACTGGGACTGGGACTGATGTGACAGTGTGTGAATGCTGGATCCTCTTCCCTGCTCTCCATCCCTTTCTGCACCTCTACATGCTGCTCTTGTCTTGTGCAGCTGTGCTTAGTACCTATGACCTCAGAACACATCAGGCGTGTTCTCTGAGTGCCCAGCACCTTTCCTATCAGCTTGTCTTTGCTATTCCACTTTTTTGGCAGAGACTCTGAGGTTTGGGCTTGTGACCTTCTTTGACTCCCAGCCCAGGGTACTGGTTATGACCCTGTGACCCCAGCCCTATGTAGTGACTGCCCCAATCACCAGGCCCTCTCTGGCCTCTGGGACTTTCCTCTGTTGCTAGATGCTATCTGGGGCCGGTTCTGTCCACGGCAAGCGGCATTCCCCAGAGAGTATGGGAAATTACATGGTCACTCTAGCATCCCTCCTAATTAGTCTACCCCTATTCTTTGGGTTTTTTGAAATAATGGATTGCATTGTAGAGTGCTTGGAGTCCCCTCAAACCATCACTAAAGACAAGTGCAGTCAGCATTTGTGTCCCTCTCACCACCCTGGGACCAGCCACCAGAGGGCTGCCCTGTCTTTGCACTGAAAAATCCAGGCAGGGCCCTGTGGTCTGCATGTGTGTTTCTTGTGCTCTGACCTCATCAAAATCCCACCAAAGACTCATTCAGGAACGATAGTCTCCTGCTGCCCCTCCTCTTGTCCTTGGTGTGCTGCCTAAACAAGGGCTGGGGAGATGGGAGCTGCAGTCACCAGTTCAGGATCTGTGAACTGGGTCATCCTCAAGTGGAGCTAAACACCCTATGACTCCTGCTGGGAGGGAGAGTACCTCCTGCCTTTTGCATGGCCATCTTCCTCCCCGTGACCAGCTTAGGGACTTTGTCCTTAGCTCCTCTGAGTGGATCCTAAATCCATTGAAAAGAGCAGGGTCCTCACTTCTCTATAAGTCTTATTCCCTTTTCCTGGTTTGTCCCTTGGGGGTGTTGTGCATGCCAACAAAAGCCCAGTACCAGAGTCATGTTTGTTTAATGAGAAGCACTCTACTCTCAGAAGCATGAGTTGGACCTGCTTCCTGGGCCCAGCGAGGTGGCAGGACTGAACCCAGGGTCACCCAGTGGTCAGTGACAAGGCCAAAACAAGGTACTGAGCGAGGCTTGGAAGAGACTCGCCTGCCTCATGAAAACATGGCCTCTGGGAAGAGCCAGTTACAACTGACTGCACACCCACTGCCCATTCTGCATCCAGGGCCATGCACCACTGTGGTCCAGAGGTGGCAGGGCCCATCTCCTGAGGGGCAATTGTGAACCTAGAACAGACTTCTAGAGACACAGGGAGAGCATGTCTGCCCCTTTTCCATGGGCCTCCTGTGCTTTTCCCTCCCTCCTCTGGTCACTTTGGCCTCACCACTCTGAATGTCCCTTACTTGGCTACATCCATCACCCCTATCTCATCCTTCCCATGTCTTTGCACTCAGAGCTCCCTCATGCCTCTGGCCTTTCTTTTGAGTACGTAGGAAGGCCAGAGATTAAGGGGCCATCTAGGTGTTTGTTTGCTCTAGTTATGCCATTGATTGTCTTACTACAATTTTAGTGTTTTCTTTTGATGAATTTTGTATTTAAAAGCACAAAAGCTCTTGGTGGCCCAGGGGTAGGCTGGAGCAGGCAGGTCAGCCCTTGGCCCCTGCATGGCTGTGGTAGTGACTTGGAAGCCCATTGAGATGTGCACTCACACAGACTGAGACTGAGACAGACATGCAGAAGCCACAGCTTCTTAGCGTCATCTTTGAGATTCAGACAACTCTACCCTTTGCAGTCCTCCTACGTCAGCCTTTCCTCCCATCACCAGAGTGTAGGCCTTCTCAGTTCATAGCCCCTCAGGGAGAAAGGGTCCATCCTGGCTTCCCCTGGTGGCCTGGTGGCTGTGCATTAACAAGCAGAATGGGAGATTGTCCTCATGTGTGCATGTGTGTGTGGTCTGGGCCTGTGTGAAGGGAGCAGCTGGTGTGCTAAATGCCCCAGTTCTACTGCCTGCTCCGAAACAACCAGCTCGGAGCACGATATCCTCACTCTGCCATCCTTGGTACCCTGCTTAGTATTGTGCTCCCTTTTCCCTGTTATCAGGCAGCATCTCCTATAGGCCTAGAAACCCTGAAATCGCTGACCATCTTGTAGAGAAGGCCTGTCCTGCATGAGGTGTAGGTGTGTGGCGGTGTGCCACTGTGGGTGTGTATGTGCCTGTATGAGTATGGATGTCAGCATTTTGTTTTTCCATAAGTTCATTAAAAATCTCTTGGCTAAAACCTGTCCCTTAATCTCCCCAAATGTCAGCTGTCTTTGCCATGGGTTTTTGAAGGTTGTTGCTTCCTTCCTGGTGGGTGGGCTGGTCCTGAGCCTGGTGCATGTGTGGCTCTGCCCACATCACATCTGCCTTCTCTTCTTCCAGTTGGTCAGCATTGGCTCTTCCTACAACTATGGGAGTGAAGATCAGGCCGAGTTCCTCTGTGTGGTCTCCAAAGAGCTGCACAATTCCCCGTACGGCACTACCAGCGAGCCCAGTGAGAAAGCCAAGGTGAGTGACTTTGGGCAAGCAGGCAGGCAGCAGCCATGAGTACTCTGGCCTGTGGAGGGGGCTTGTGAGGGCAGAAGCCTCCCTTTGTAGGGTTGGGTTTTTCCTCAGAGCTTTATCATTTCTTGCTGTTCTCATCAACTCCCGGCTCTGCAGGCCTCCTGGTGTTTGCTCACCTGTGCCTCTTGTTCATCATCCTGTAATTCTCGAGTGAGTGTCAGCAGAGTCCTGTAATGAAGAAAATATCTGGGAGGTGGTGGATCAAGGGATGTTTGGACACAGGCTCCCCCACAGGCAGCCCACACTCTCTGCTGACTCTCTCTTCTATGGGAAAAGTTGCTCCTGGAAGTGTTGTGTCTGTGCTTTTTTGTGTGTGTGTTCAGATAGAGTAGGAGGGGGAGAGAGAGAAGCATCGACATGAAAGGGACACATCGAGTGGCTGCCACCCACACAACCCAACCAGGGCCGGGGACAAACTTCAACTGAGATACGTGCCCTTAACCGGAACCAAACCCGGGTCTCTCTGGACCGCAGGCTGACGCTCTAACCGCTGAGCCAAACTGGCCAGGGCTTGTGTCTATGCTTTTAAGTGATGCCACCACTTTGGGCTCTTTTCCTGGGGATTTGGGACCAGGAGGCTGCCAGGCAGGTCCCCTGAGTGGCACCCTGCCTTGGCCATACCCGCCCCGAATTGGGAGTTGAGTTTGGTTGGTAAAAGGAGTGGATCCTGCAGGTTCTGTTATTTGAATCCATGGAGTGTTGCCTCAGTCTGGCACTGGCCAGTCTTTATGTAAACTGGCGTTGCTCCCTGCTGGGTGCTGGCTCTTTTGTCTCATGGGGAGGACAGTGCAGCTGGGGCGAAAGTGTAACTGTCATGTCACTTGCTTTCGCGTTAGCCTTGTGGCAGGGAGCCACGGCTGGCCTTGCCCAGAGGTGAAAAGAGACTAGTGGCATTTCCTCTGGATTCGTTCTGAGGTTAGGGATTCAAGACAAACACAACTCAACATTGACCTGGGCTGGATCTACCTGGCAGGACTTTCAGAACTTTGAACTAGGTGGTGGCCAGAGAGTCCTGCATCCATCTCTGAGGGGGAGTTAGGGGGTTCTTTGTGGCCTTAGCAGAACCCAGGAGGTTGAGGTCAGGCTCTGTGGCAGCCCTCGTGAATGAAGACTCAGGGTGCTGTCTGCCAAAGGGCATTTGGAATGAGTTTAGGAAAAGTCTAGAGGCAGAAGGATTTTAACATTTTTGTTTGTTCGTTTTGTATTTTTGTTAGTCCTCACCCAAGGATATATTTTTCCATTGACTTTTAGATAGAGTGGAAGGGAGGTAGAGAGAGAGAGAGAAAGACAGAGAAAGAAACATCGATGTGAGAGAGACACATTGATTGGTTGCCTCCCACACGACCCTAACCGGGGCTAGGGATGGAACCTGCAACCCAGGTATGTGCCCTTGACCAGGAATTGAACCTGAGACCAGTGGGCTGACTCTAACCGCTGAGCCAGGCCAGCCAGGGCCAGAGCCAGAAGAATTTTAACTGGTGACATTAAACTGGGGTTCCCAGGTCTTTTTCAGACTCAGCCAGAGTGGCCTCTGGCTGGCCACCATCTGCTTAGAACCACTCTGTAAACCTTTTAGGGTCTTTCTTGAAGGAGTGGGCTTGGGGACTAACAGCAGAGTCACTGTGCCTGCTGGCCCTCCACCTGCTTCAAGCAGCTTATTTACCATAGCAAGAAGTCTTGTGTCTTTACACCTGGGTGAGATTATGTCCAGGGTCCTCTAGAGTCCTCAAGTCCCCGCCCTGCCCTGCTTGCTGCTAAGTGTTCAGGTCTGGGGTGTCCTGCCACTGCTCAGGACAGGACCTTGGGGATGTGCTTTCTGTAGAATCTGGGGAAGAAGGTGACCCCACCTCCCTGTAATCTCCCAGCCTCATCAGGAGGCACATCTCTCTGAGCAATTGCAGGACTCTTGTAAGATATTTATTTTTAGAAGCTTTTATTTCTGAAATGAGCCTAAGCTCATTTCCCTCAGGTTGCTTTTCAGTTGCAGAAAGAATGTGTGAGCTTTGAGGGAGCTCCTGGCATGACCCCAACTCCCTTTGCCATTGAAAATGCAGCCCTGTTTCCCTCTCTAAAAACACCTGGCTCTGAAGTGTGGTGGCCACAGTGGGGGCACTCTGGAAAGCCATAGAAAACCATTGGGCTGGATTGGGGATGGTGCTTTGGGGACACCCATGTGCAGCCTGGTTGCCGCAGTGCCACTCATTCTGAGGGTAGTGAGTATCACTACTGTGGACCCACCTGCTCACCAAGTGATAGCCTGCAGCACATAATAGCCTCCCTTCTCAGGCTAGAAGTGGCTGGAGAGAACAAGTGGGGGTGGGGCAGCTCCACAAGGGGAATGGTCCACACTAGAGCTGCTAAGTCCACCGCCAGCTACAAGTTCCGGGCTTCCCAAACCACTTTCCGATTCCATGGTTTGCTGGAAGTATTCACAGAACTCATCAGTGTTATGCTCACAATTACAGTTTATTACAGGAAGTGTAGAGGAAGGATTCAGATACACCAGGGGAGAGCACATGGGGTGGAGGCCAGGGAACCAGCCAGATGTAGGGCTTTTGTATCTTTTTTTTTTTTTTATCCTCACCAGAGGACATCCCTCCATTTTTTGCTCAGGTAGAGTGGGAGGGAGAGAGAGGAACAGAGAGAGAGAGAGAAACATCGATGTGAAAGGAACACATCGAGTGGCTGCCACCCTCACGACCAACCAGGGCCGGGGACAAACTGCAACCGAGGTATGTGCCCTTAGCGGGAACCGAACCCGGGTCTCTCAGGACCGCAGGCCAACGCTCTAACCGCTGAGCCAAACTGGCCAGGGCCAGATGTAGGGCTTCTTTGTGCTCCTCATGGAGTCAGGGTGGGTGGCAACTTGAACAGAGCATTGCCCACCAGGATTGCTCCCTTAGCCTCTGAGTCCAGAGATTTTACTGGGCTCAGTCGAGTAAACATGATTGATCGATGATTAATCACCCACATACCTGATTGCAGTCTCCAGCCTTCCTGGTCAACTGATCCTGCGCCCTATCACATTGTTAGACTGTCCAGTGTGACCAGGAACCAAGGGCAAAGCCGGACCTCGATTTGGGCAACGTTTAATTCACTGCAAAGAGGGAAAGGAAACTCTGGCACTTTGCGAGCACCAGAACCCAGGGACAGTGGGGTAAGGGAGATGCTTGAGACCTGTGTTCCTCCATGGTGTGGTCTGGGCATGTGCATTTGGGGCCCAAGCCGTCAAGATGAGGCTGGTCTGTGCTTTGCTGCACAGTACAGTGGGAGTTTCTGGCCCTAAGCACCCATGGTCCCTGAGGACTGTCTGGGCCAGTTTCCCTCTTCTACCCTCTGCCTTGCCCTGTACTGACGGTGTCCTCTCTTTTTCTCCTTTGCCGCGTGCTGTGTGCTGAGCCAGAGTGATGATGAGGAAACAGGTCATGATGGGAATAACTCAGATTAAGTGTAAATGTCCTGGTGAGCTCTGCTGCCCTTGCAATGGACCCCGAACCTTAGTCTCCTTGACCCAGTCCCTCCTCTGTTCCGTGTCTGTAGTTGACAGAGAACTTTCCACACTAGATGCCAACTGTGTAGATCTGCAGTAGAGCCATCCTGTCTGGGAGTGGGGCTGTCTGTCTGTCCCCTGTAGGATGCCTGTCTGGGTGAGATTGGGACCTTGGCTGGGGTGCCTGAGAACCCTGTGTTTCAGGCCTCCTCACTCTGAGTTTCCGTGGGCAAGGACATGGGCTTATACTTCTTGGGGGCTGGGCCATCCCCAGCCTCAGCCTTCCCATCCTGTTGTTGGTTCATGGGCTCAGGGCCAAGGAGTCGGGCTGTGCTGCAGAGGGTGGTCTCCAGTCCTAAAGCCAAAGCCTGAAGTGCCCCTACTTCCCAGTGTCTTGGGCAAGGGATACTGGTGGAGAGTGTGCAGATCTTCCTTCTGTTTGCCTCCTTTGCCCACAGCTGCTCCTCACTTCCTTGCCACCTCCCAGCTTCTCATTGCCTGAGATTCATAGGCCCAGCTGATTCCAGAACCCAACTTTGTTCTCCATTAGCAGGAACCACCTGGCCTACTTCTTTATCTTGCACACAGGAGTTGAGGCCCAGAGAGGACAGATTGTAGGTGGATGAGCCAGGCATCATTCTGGGGTCCCCTACTACCACCAGGGTCCCTGCTGTGGACTGAGCCCTGCAGGTTGGGACCCTCAGCCTCTGCCTTGGGAGGAACTCGGAAAGGCATGAGGCCTGAAAGCTGACCCTCCAGCCATGAAAAGTCTAGACTTGGGGCTTTTTTACTTTTAGTGGTTGGGGTTTATTTTGCAGAGTGATTATATAAGTACATAACATCCTCAGTTTTGCTCTTTCACCCACAAATCCTAAAATATTTACTATTTGCCCCTTTAAGAAAATGTTTGCCAAGCATGCGTCTAGACCAGCTGGCAGAGTCCAGGGAAATGCAGCACGAGCTCCATCTGTCCTTTTAAACTTTCTAGTAGCCACATTAAGTAAGAAATGTGAAATTTATGCTAATACTCTTAATCCAGTATGTGTAAAAAATATTGTCATTTCAACCTAAAAAAATCACTGAGGTACTTTCTACTTTTCAAAGTCTCTGAAATCAGGTGTGTAGTTTGTGTTTGGGGCCACATCTTAGTTGGCTCAGCAGCATATGGGCAGCAGGCCCTTGACTTTGGGCTGCCCTGATGGTGACCAGTGAGCCTATATGAGCTTGGAGGAGCTGTACCTAGTGGTTGGCTGCTGGGTGCTGGCACTGGGCCAACATCAGGTAGGGACTAGGGTACTTCTTTCAGCCCTCCCTCCTCCCTCTTCTCAGTTATTGATTTACATCTGCTGGCCAGAGCTGCTGCGGTGGCCCTCACTCAGGTCAGGCCTGGGAGGGGTGGGTGTGGGCTGGTCACAGAGCAGCCCTGGAGCTACCCTGGCCTATGGATCTGCCTAGGCCTGCTCATGGGGGTGCTGCGCGTGGTACGTGGACGGCCTTGGTCCTTGAGGGAGGTGGCCCAGGTGAGAGCTCTGTCCTGAGCACTTTGACTGTTATAGGTCCTGGGATCTTCTGTCCTCTTTAGGCGAATTATTGGGGCTTCTGCTCTGGCAAGGCAGTCCCTCCTGTGCTGTTCTCATCTTGCTCCCAGGCCAGGTTCCGGTTGTGCAGGCCTTATGTGTGTGTGAGCCTCCTTGTTTCACTACTTAGTCCTGTGAACTCAGGCACTCCCTCTACTCTGCTGGGCTCCCACAAAGGGAGGGCATCTCTGTGCATCATGGGTCTCTGCAGGCCCTAGCTTTCCCTGCAAACAGAAAAAGTAAAGGGCCAGTGGAGACCTCCTGGAGCTAGGACTAGTGCCTTGGGGGCAGGAGGGACCTGCAGGGGCTGATCTGGGCCTTCTGGGCTTTCCCAGTGAGCTGGCAAATCCTAAATCTAGGAGCTTGCCCTGGTCTGGCCTGAGGAGGGATGTGCAGTCTGGGCCTCTGCTCTCCCAGCACAGTGGAAGGTATACCTTGTAAGGACTGCAGCATGGGCTGTCTGAGCAGCCCCAGAGCTCTGAGAGACTCAAGGAGCCCAGGTCTGTGGACCAGCAGGGGTGTAGGGATATCAGGGGACAGCTGGAGCAACTCCCAAGAACTTGAGTCATTCAGACGAGCCCTAGGTGACTATGAGGGACTGGCTGCCCTGCCATGGGCAGTGCCCTCGCTGGTGAGTCAGAGGCCAGCAGGACACTTGATGTGAACCTGAGAACCATGCCTCCTTCCTGCAGGGTCTTGCTGGGAGGCAGTACCTCACCCTGGCTGGAGCATCCACATGGGTCTGGGCCTGGCAGGAGCAGGGCTGGCTCCCTTCCAGAGCATTATCCCCATCTTGCGCCTGGGTCCCAGGGCTCTGAAGCACACAGTGTCCTCGAAGCCATATCTCTCTCAGCTCTGAAATTCAAGTGTAGAATGCCCCTGGGCAGCTCACTGTTACTCTGCTGATGGGATCCTAGGGAGGGTCATCTTACAGCATTGGCCTTGGCTAGGATGGGCCACGCTGGGACTTGTGGCCTTTCTGTCCTGGTTACCTGGTGCTTAGCAGCCATGCTTGATGTATCAAAATAGTAATATTTGCTAGCTTTGAAGCCCCCACCTAGGGACACAGGGTGATCCCACTCACTCCCTCCACCTGGCCTGTATGGGTTTGACTCCGTAGGCATTTGTCAGTGCATAGGCCTGCCCCCAGATGACTCCAAGCCTTGAGGAACTCCCTACTCAGATTTGGAGGTGGATGGGATGCACAAATGATTCCAGTGGTAAAAGGAGAGGGGCTGAGTGTGATGGTAGAAGGCTGCTCAGGCCCTGAGATGCCAGGGAAGAGTGGGAGGGGGAGAGGTGGCTATTGGCAGTCCAACGAGCCTGATAAGGAGCTGCCCCCCTCTGGCCATGCCTGTGTGTCTCAGACCTCCTGAAGAAGCCCAGGGAGGCACCTGGTGGAGGTTTGGGCGTGCCTTTCTGATGTCAAGATGGGATGGAAGGTCGGAGGAGTTGGAGGAGCCAGCCCCTTGTATAGGCCAGGAGGTGTGCCAGTCAGCCCCCCTACATTGAGGGTCAGCTGGGCTGGGTCCCAGCCTATTCTTAGACCCTGGCTGTGGTGATGGCTTCCTCAGGCCCCTGAGCCGAGCCATCTGTAGGCTGACCGGTCTCTGGGCTCCACTCCCTGAAGCAGGGCACGTGGTTCCAGGGCTGCATAGTTCCTGTCTCCCTGTGCAAGGCCCACATCCTCACTCTCTGCATTTGATATTTTCAGATTTTGCAGGAACGGGGTTCAAGGATGTGAGGAGCACAGTGCTGTCAGCTGAAGAAACATTTTACTTTTCCCAAGATGAAACGAACCGCCATGTCGAGGAAGCTTGGCCGTGAGAAGAAACCTGCTTTTGACAATTTTCTATAGAGATCTGGGTGTGAATCCTTTTTTGCCTCTGAGATGGGTGGTGAGACACATGACCAGCTGTCTAAGGCCGGGCATCCCCCACTAGAAGGAGGTGTGCTGGCCAGGCGGACGTTCCTGTGGGGGCCTTCGCTCGGTTTTTCCAAGTGCCACACAGGCCTGAGGCAGGATGCTCCTGACCAACTCCCTTTAATCACTGAAGATCATTTAAAGGACAGCGTTCTTGGTGCTACATAAACAGTCTGTAATGGAGCCTGGGCCTTGCTGGTAGAAAGTGGCCACAGTGCTGGGCCCCAGGCTCTGGGTGTCTGCTAGTCACCCACACCACACCAGGCCCTGGTTCTCGGGTCAGAGAGTCGTGCCCAGGTGTGATTGGTTGGTGGTTTCTCACAGCCTTGGGCAGCTTTTGACAGAGGTGGCCTCTATGTGTTCACTACTTCCTGGACCCCCCCACCCCAAGGCTGGGCCTCCTTCAGAGCCATGCTCTCCTGACCTGATTTGACCTGGCCTGGAATAGTCAAGGCTTCTTTATTTGTATTTTCCAGGAGAGAGACCTTTGCATCTCTTATTTCCCAGTGTGGATAGACTTCCCAATGTTTTTACTTCTTAGAAATGCCTAAAAGTGTTGCTGCATTTTGGATTGACCTGTTAAGTCATTTAAAGGGAGGTAGAAATTTTGTTTTGTTCATCCCACCCATAGGCTCTTGGGGGAGCTGACGCTCTTCAGTGCCTTTGTCTCACCTGGGATGGAGGTCAGGCGGGAGGCCTGTCCACCTGGCTTCTGGAGCTGAAATTCCGGGTCACATTGAAAATTGGATGTTTACAGCGCATCACAAATATTTCTCTTTCTTGCCAGCTCTTTTATTTTCTTTGTATAACTATGCATTTCTCTCTGATATTTCTGGGATGTTTGAGACTCCATCTGACATGACATTGGAGCTACTAGGATTCCTTTAAAATCCGCTATCCACATGCTTTGAGAACGACCTTTCTGAGCTGGTCGTGAAGACTGTTAGAGTCTGGGGGACCTGGCTCGGACAAGTAGCTCTCTGCTTCCTGACCTCGGGCTTCCCAGGGGAGCTGTCACACTGACACCGGGGCTGCTGACATGTCGGGCAGAGGCTCTGACACGTCTAGTTTCAAATGCTTCCGGAGGCATCTCACCTGTGCCCTCTTCTCCTTTGCCAATAAATAACCTGATTAACCAAGTTTTCCAGCACCTAGGACTTACCTAGTCCTTTTTGTAAGGTCTGTTTTATGTTGTTAAATGGCTTCATCCATTTATAGCAACCTTTCTTTAGGGTGTATTTAGCTCCTGGTGACCTGTTCTCCTCATGGAGCTTTGGGAGGAGGGTGGCCTTGGCTGGCCTCGGGGTATACCTGTGGGGCGCTGCTGGCCGCTTATTGTTGTTTAATTTGTGACCTTGACATTATGAATAGGCTTTTTTTTTTTTAATTTAAAGATATTAAGACTTAATTCACTAAAATTTATTCTAAGGGGATATTTATACTTTTATACTTTTTTAGGTATCCGTATTTTATCAGCTTACAGTTTAATGCCTAAGTTTCCCCTGAAAATAGCAAATAAAATTGTGTATTTATGAATGAGCAGAGCAACTCTTAGTGTCTTAAAATGCATGGAAAAGCTCTTGGCGACATTGGACATGGTTAGTGGCTAGGGTGGAGCTGGGTTGTCCACCTTGTCAATTACTGTCCAGCCTGGTCCTGGCTAGGGCATTAATGCAGCACATGCCTGGGGATAAGATCATATTTGAGTGACTTAAAGTACTGATGCCTCATCAAGTTACGTTTGTCCACCTGTCTTGTCTCTTACTCTGGCCAGAAGCACCAGCTTCAAACTCCTTTGTGTCCTTGGGCATTCTGAGCCCCCTAAGCCCACCCCGCGTAGTCACTCTGGCTTCCACTGGTGGCTGCTGTGTGACAGCTGTTGGAGAGCTCTGGCTCCTTGAGGATGGCTAGGATGTTCTTGATCCCAAGATGCTGGTGTCTCGGACTTTCCAAACTTCTAGCCTCTTGGGGTATCTATCCTGTTTCCAAGTGTGGGGCCAGCCTGGCCAGGGGCCCTAGGATCCTGGATGGGGACTTATTCTGCCTACCCAGGCTGGGAATAGGAACTGACTGCCTGGAGCCTGGGCTCTCCAGTGCTTTATGTGCAGCCTGGGGCACATGGGGAAGGACTCCAAGTTCTGCTTTGAGGAGTTTGCTTTCTGAACAGACTAAACTTGGCATCACCCAGTTTCCTGATGCCAACAGTGAACCTGGACATGCCTCTAGCTCCCTCTGCCAAGTGGGTACTTGGGAGATGTTCCAGAGCATCTCGGGTATTCCTGTCAAAGCTCTGAGCTTGTCTTTTGCTCAAGTAAAGGACTGGAAAGGAAATAACCATTTGATCTAAGTCATGAGGTTGAGGAGGGAGCCCTGCCCCTTGGTCCTCGTGCTCCAAGCATAGCTTGCCTGCCATGAAGATGTGTGGGGAGGGGCAAATGACACAGCTTTTGGGCAGCCTTAGGGCCACCAGATCTGTACCTTCAGGAAGCCAGAGGACAGGACAGGAGCAGAAGACTGGCGCTTGGTGTGTGAAGGCTCCCTGTGGGGTCCCCTGCTGCTGGGCCTCTTGCAAAGCCCATGCCCAGAACCTTCCAGGGCTTTGCACAGGGGCAGGCTCTGTCCCTTGACACCTCACCTTGCTCCTCCTCTCTCCTGTGTTTACTTGTGTTCACCCAACAGGTGCTTCTGACATCTTTCATCTTCCCCCGAACTGGTGGCAGTGGCTGGCTGGTGCCCTGTTACCCACCAGTCACTGAGCCCAACTGAGGCAATAAAGAGTTGGGCCTACAGGGCAACTGTTTGTCCCGCAGACCCTGTGTGCTCAGGTCTGTGGGGAGCTGAGGCCCAGGAGCCTGGGAGTTTGTGTGCTCTGCCTCCCAGAAGCAGCTCCATCCCAGCACCTTGGAGCAAGCTGTCTCCACTGAGACAGACTGAAAATCTGGACACTGATGCACACCCCTAGCGGAAGCTGGATCTCTGGCTTGGGGGCTTTGATTTGCATCTCCTCTTTGCCTTCCCTCCTCCATGTCTGCTGAGCACCTGAGCTCTGGGTAGTGCATCAGGCCTAGGGCTCAGCTTAGGGCACACAGCCAGTCCTGTGACATCAGAGCCATGGCTGACCTCTGGTCTTTGAGGCTGGAAGGAATCTGGGTTCCTGGCCCAAATTTTCTTCCTGGGGTTCCTATGGGTTGATCATAATGTTTACGTGAGCGTGCCCATGTGTGTGGTGTGTGTGGATTTCTGGGCTTGGTTGTGGCCCGCAGGAGGGGTATCTGGTTCCCCAACTCTTGTTTCACCTGTAGGCTGCTGTGATTGCTACAGATGGGCCTTTCATTGTGGTCCCTACCCTGGTTTGGGCCTGCTTCCCTCTGCTACCCTGTGGGGCAGCAGACAGTCTCCAGTTCTCCAGTGTTCTTTCTGCTGCTGACCTAACTTGGGCACTGCCACCCACCACCTGGCAGATGGCTCTCGAGGCCATCTGTAAACTTGTGTCTAAGCTGTGCCCCTGCCGAGGGTGAGAAAGGAACTGATGACATATCGGGGCATGTCTCTCCGTTACCTCCCATCACACTAAGTGGGCCGTGAACCGTGAATGGCATGAAATAAATCTGCTTTCCTTTTTACTCTCTTGGTCTCTTAAAGAGTGTCTGCCCTTCCTCTCTACAGCCCTCTGGTTGAACATCTGATCTGGGTCTGGGTGGGGTAGGGAACTATGCCCTAGGTCATGCACTGGCCACCATCTTGGCTGCATCAGGAGCCCCACCCAGAACCCCAGACTTGCCCTCCCAGCCTAGCTGGGTGTGGTGTCACTGGGGGCTAGGTTGCCCTGATATCTGTGGCCCTCCTCCCTGTTATCCCTGCCCTGTAGTAGGAGGATCAGGAGGGGGATTAATGGGAGACCCCAGGGCACCCAGAAAGCTGGGACAGCAGGCATGAGGAAGCAGAGATAGGGTGGCAGCCTCTGAGAGGAGCCTGGTCTTGACCCATCTTCAGGCAGCGAGGCTTCATTCTGGCCTACCCACAGAGGCTACAGAGGGGCTTCCCTCCAGAGACTACCTAATCTCTAATCACCCCTACCCCGGGGCCTGAAACTTGAATACCCTCAGAGTGGGGGCTGGTGGTGGGCAGCAGGGGTTCAGTCAGGTCTTTCTCCAAAGCTGTAGGGCCCAGTCCAGCCAGGGTTACCCAGAGCTTTTCCTTAGGGCTACCCTCAGGACACCCCTAGCCTGGTTCCACCCCCAGTCCTCTGCCTGGGCCTTGGTGTACCTGCTTTCCCCTGAGGGACTCGGAGCCCACCTCTAGTCTAGAGAAGTAGCACATAGTCCACTCCCTGAAGGGTCACAGAGCAGCCAGCAGAGAAGTGGGGCCACCATGAGCCTCTGCCAGTTTTTGCACCTCTGGTCCTTCCTGCCTGGAGGCAGGGATGTGCCGGGCAAAGTGGAACACAGAGAGGAATTAAGTATTTGTTCCCACTCTGTCCCCAGGCACAGTTCACAGCAGGTGCTTGCTAAGTGCTTATTGATTCATTCCATAAATATCCAGACCTGTTTTCATTCTGACACCAGGCAGGCAAGCTCTACCTATGTGTGCACAAGCATCCCAGAGGTTTGTGCTTGCGTAAGTGTGGGTGTTTCTGTGTGCATGGGTGTGTGCGTGTTGTGTACAAGTGAGCGCGTGTGCATGGATGCGTGGGCGTGTGTGAGTGGAGGCATAGGCATGTACACGTGTCTGCATGAATGTGCATACATGGTATGCTAGGGAGTGTGTGCCTGGTTAGGTGGATATATGTGTGTGTAAGGCAGCAGCAGATGGATCCCTGTCCTAGGAGTCTCATCCAGTTCATTATTGCTGAGCAAGGCAGGTAAGCCCCAGCACCTTTTGAGTTGGTCTGCATGCCGGGTAGAGCTGACCATCTGGCCACAGAGGAGGCCTGCTGTGGATGTGCTTGGGCCAGCCTGCGAACCTGAGATTGCCCCATGGGCAGACATGCTATCATGGCAGGGCCAGAGCACACTGGGGTCCAGAGCTCCAGACACCTGTTAGTGCTGGATTCCTGGTGTTGATAGTCTACAACAGATTGAGTGGGGTTGCTGATGACAGGAGGCAGGAGAATAGGGCCGCAGAGCTGGGCCCAGGTCAGGCTACAGGCCCGAAGTAGGGGATCTCCATGCAGGATTCTGGCTCCTTTCTGGATTGGGGGTGGGGGTTCTTGCACAAACCATCAAAGACATCAGCAAGTATGGCCTGAACCCTGAATTCTGTGGAAGGAGGAAGGGAGGGGTTCTAGCCCATGAAGCTGCTAAAGCCTCAGCCTCCATGGCCCTAAGTGGCCTGGGCCTTGCCTCCTCTGATACCTGTCACATCTCTGGCTGCCCATGCAGTGTGTGGACTTGATGGGGCCACAATGGTTCCTGCTTCCCAGAGGTTTGGGGAGGTCCAACTCCCTCAGACGTTGGTTCTGCAGGGCCCAGCTGTGCCCAGGCAGTTTCAAGGAAAGTGTGGAGCCTCGGAGGGAGGCAGGCAGGCACTGGAGCCCAGGGCAAGACCCACATCGCTGTCACCCTGCCACATCCTCTGGCAGATTCACTGTCCACCTGGACACCCCTGAGAGGCAGAAGTGCTGTCCCAGGTTACAGGAGAGAAACAGGCTCAGAGTGGGCAGCAATTTGTTTAGTCTCCCAATGGATGTGGACTCCAACTCCAGCCCTCACCCCCACCCCCACAGCTTTGGACTCATCAGGAAGAAGCTAGAGGCTGAGGAACCGGTGGAGGGAAATGAGCTGGGGATCAAGGGTGGCTTGGGGAATGGAGTCCCTGCCTCCTCCCTACTGGGGCGGAAAGCACTGTTGTGAGGATATCACCCCTGATGTTATTTGGAGAAGTCTTGGGGTGATTCAGACCTAGAAAGTGGAGCTGTGATTTCCCAATGCCCCACAAAACCTTCCTCGTGTAGGACCCTCTGCCAGGCCCCCATTCTTTCTGCTGATATGGTAGCTGCTGGTATCGTTGCTGCTCCCCATGCTCAGCCCAAGGCGCCCTGTGACAGTACTTATGGTGAAGTTGGTGTTGGCAAGGACAATGCAGCAGGCCAGGGTGGGAGCAGGGAAGCTACCTGTGAGGGGGTCTTGGGAGCAGCTGTCACAGGGGACACTGAGGACCTGGATTCCAGTGACATCTAGCCTCCAGTGTGCTGCAGCTGCATTCTCACTGGGAGCCTTGCCCCCCCCCCCCACGCCCCCGCCCGGTGTTGCCCCCAGCTCGCAGCTCCTCAGTACACCCCGTCAGATACCTCTCCACTCCCCTCTTGTCCTGAGGGTCCACACCTGGGCTGCTGGCACTGAGGTAGGGTTTTTATTGGAGGGTGAACATAAATAAAAATAACTGGGCATTTGAGAGAAGAGAGAATCAGAGAGCTATTTACAAATGTACACGTGGGCTCCAGGGCTACACTCGCCCACCTGCCTGGGCAGGGCTCAGAAGCAGGTGAGCAGGGCTGTGAGGACCAGGAGGATGGTGTGGGCCGCCAGGCAGGGCGCAAAGTTCTGGTCAAGGGGCTGCTGGACCCGAAGGCCATGCTTCTGGCCACCCGATCTGGCCTGCTGAAACTGCAGTTCTGGGATGATCTGATGGATCCAGTTATAGTGGGAGGTAACACGGATGTAGACACCTGGGCGGTTCCGGCGGGCACAACCCTCACCCCAGCTGATCACCCCAGCCTGTAGCCACGACTGGCCCACGAGGCACACCAGAGGGCCCCCCGAGTCACCCTGTAAGGGAAGCACAGGTACCATCAGAGCCCACAGGAGCCTGAGAGCCAACAGGTATACACACGCGCGCGCGCGCACACACACACACACACACACACTTTCCTGCCTTTGTCCCTCTCCTCACCTCCCCATCCTAGGAATGTCCCTGCCCAGCTCCCCTCACCCCAATGGCTGGTCCTTCCTTTTCTGATCTCAGGTGCGCATTTCTCTAGCATCCCCAGTCCACCTGCTCAGAGGGGTATGTTGAAAATGTGTTTTCCAGAGTCCCACTGCAGACCTACTGACTGACACCCCTGGGTGGGATCCAGGAATCTGCTTTTCCCAGCTAACTGAATGTACAACCCTGGTCTGGACCAGTGGACCTACCTTCTGGGACCTCATCAAGCTGGGCTGGCTCCCACCTTGATCTAGGCCTGGGGAGCAGGGCTCAGCCTCCATCACAGTCTGTCCCGGCCCTTACCTTGCAGGCATCCTTCTTGCCCTCAGCAAAGCCAGCACACAGCATGTCGTCCTTGATGGTTTTCAGCTGAAAGCCAGACTCAGCATCTTTACTGTAGAGTAGGTTACACTTGGGCGTGTCAATGATGGGCACAGTGAGTTTTTGCAGGATTCGAGGATTGGGCAAGCGGTCTGGGGAAGGGCAAAACAGCCTGCATCTCAGCGGACAATTCTTGAGAACGACAGCTCTGTCCCTCCCCATATATTTTATTTTATTTTTTATTTATTTTATTTTATATTTTATTTTATCTAATTTTATCTTATTTTATTTTATTTTTCCTTTATTGATTTTAGAGAAGAAGGAAGAGGGGGAGAGAGAAACATTGATGAGAGAGAACATCGATTGGCTGCCTCCTGCATGCCCCCCACTGGGGATTTCGCCTACAACCTGGGCATTTGCCCTGACTGGGAATCTGAACCAGCGACCTCTTGGTGCATGGGTCGGTGCTCAACCACTGAACCACACCTGCCAGGCCCTCCCTGTTTCTTGTTTGGGTTTAGACCTCTTCTTGCTCAGGACTTTGTGGAACAGAATTCCTTCATCCCTTATTCCATTTACCAGGATGGGCTCTTTCTGTCCTCTCTCCACTTTCCCATGGCTCCTCCTGCATTTGCTGCCCCTTTCCCATACCCACCCCACCCATTTGAGTAGAGATCACGTGTATCAATATCAACAGAAAAAGATGGTTGGTTCAAAGTGGCCCCTAACCTGCCTAGGACCTTCTCTAGGCATGTCCCCCATCTCTCCTGCCCCTGCCCTATTCATTACCTTGCTCACTGGGGCTGCCCCAGCCAGTGACCCAGCATTTCATGCCCGACTCAAAGATGACTGAAGGGTCAGGCATGCACACAGGGAGGATATAATTGGTGAAGGTTACAGGTGCCTCCAACTCCACCAGGGCCACATCGGCACTGGAGGCCATGCCCTGGTACAGGGGGTTGCTTTCCACCCGCTTCACTCGTGCATATGTGGCATGTGGCCCTGGCTTCACCAACTGCCGTGCCCCCAGCAGGACCTGGTACAGGGATGTTTCAGATGTGCTGGTGGGAAAGAGCAGAGAGTTGGTATGAGGAAGCCCCTCTGGGTTTCAAAGGGGGAGTTGCTGCAGGTTAGATGGAGAAGGGAAAGAGGGAGGAGTTAGTGTTTCTCTGCAGCCAAATACCTTCCTCCTGGCATCCAGGTTCAGTGCTTGACATCTCTCTGCACCCAAATAAGTAATCTCCAGGGGGAACATACATCAGGGTGAGGTGGTTAAGGATGTATAAGCTAAAGCAGCTTTAATTTCTGATTTTAGTTCCTAGCTTCACTCCTGGTCAACTGGGTGACCTTGGGCAAGTCACCTATCAAGTTCTCAGTGACTCAGTTTCCTTGGCTGTGAAATGAGGACAGTAAAAGGCTTGCTGTGAGGGGTGAAGGAGTTGACTGCCCACAAAGGAGCAGCCGAGGGCCAGCCAAGTGGGGGATGGGCCGTGCCCTTCCCAAGAGCCTTGGGCAAGTGAACTACTCCCTCTGAACCTGCATTGCTGAATTTCAGACACAGAGCTGTGGTGAGGCAAGAGCTGATGTGCTTGGGAAACCCTTAAGGTCAAGGGCCAGGAAGTTCAGTGTGATAGCAGGGATGGGTAGCCTGGCCCTTTGGTCAGGAATAGCCAGAAAAAGGATGGTCCTGGATTTGAGGTGTGGGAGGGGGGATCAGGACGAGGGCCAGGGCATGGGAGGAGCCTGCCAGCATTTGCAGGGACAGAGCTCCTAGCCTGGCCAAGCAACTTATTGGTGAGACCAGCAATGGACCTCCCTACTGGGCTGTAGGTAGCAAAGACCGGGAAGCAGTGAGTGCAGCTGGAAGTTAGTCTCGAAGTTCCACCTACAGGGAGGACTGGCCGGGAAGGTGGGTCAGTACTGGACAGGCTGTCAGTGCTGTCCGAGGTGCTGAAGCCTGGAGGGGCACAGGGCTCTATCAGTGGTGCCCCTGGTGCAGAGAAGCATGGTGGACATAGGCAATTGGTACTGAAGGAGAGTGTATGGGGGACTTACTTGGAGAAGCAGTGAGCTGCAGTGAGGACCCACTGCTCTGTGATGAGGCTGCCCCCACAGAAGTGGCTTCCGTTTCGCTGGATGCTGACCTGCCATGGCCACTCGCCGTTCAAGGCATCCTGCCCACCCACCATCCGGTTCAGCATCCTTGGGCGCCCGCAGACTAGAAGAACACAGCCGGGGCAGCGCTCACTGGGGGTCGGTTCCATCACATGAATACCTACCCTTACCCCACATTCCAGCTTTTACTTTCTACTCAATTCTTGGCCCTCCCTGTCCCTGACCTGCTCGGGGACCTTGGGCAAGTCAGACGCCTGGGCATCAGGTCAGCCTCTGACACAGGCATACCCTTCCCAGCTTTAGGAAAGCCCTCCCCCTTCACTTGTGAAATGGTGACATCATGAAGAGTGTTGAGATAACACATGTAGAAATCTTATGACATGACAAACAAGCTCCTGGAAGCACAGTGGGTTTTGGGAGGGTCCCACAGAGGGTGGGTGACCCTGAGGGTATCTGTTATTGTTACTGCAGAATGATCATCAGATTCTATCCTTAGCTTGTTTTCTGTCACTTTTTCCTGCCCCCATCTCCATGCTTCATGCCTCTATGGCCCTCTTGTGCTATCTGCAGTGTATTTCAGACTTTCTTCCTGTCTGGGCTCCAACTCCATTGAGCCACAACTTTTTCTTACTTTGGGATTCCCCGTGCCCTGCCTATTTATTCTGGGTCTCCTTCCTGGTGAGTGTGAGAGCCTCTGGCCAGCCTTGCTGCTCTCAAACAAGCCTGCTCCTGTCCCCCACCCAAAGGTCGTGGTTCTTACCGCTCAATGCTTTGATCCTCTGAGTCCCTGGAGGGGAGAAAAGAGGGGGTGATCAGCCAACTTTGGTGAAGCCAGGACTTCTCCCCTCCCCACTTCTGGTCAGTGCAGCCCTCCTCTACTACATACCCAGCCCCCTGAGGACTCAGGACACAAAGGAACCCGGCAGGAGAGGCCAGGGGCCTTCAGTTTCCCTACAGCCCTCACTTCAAGGTCTACAGGCCCAGGCCTATAGGCCAGAGCTTATCTGCAAGGACAGATAGACTCCTTGCCATACAGGGAGCTAATCAGAAGATGCCAGTGAGGGGACCCCATCATGGCTTGACTCTCCCGATTAGGGCAGGATGGCTCTCTAGTCCCTGCAGAGGTCTCTTCCTCCACACCCCACACCCATCCTTGTCTGGAAGCTCTGAGGAGGATCCAGCCTTAAGCCCTGGTGCTGTGGAATCTGCATTTCCCACCTCGGACAGCCTGGAGCTGAGATAAATTAAGAGTCCCTGGGAGCTGCCTTTGCATTTCGGAGTTCTGAGCCTTCTCAGTCTGTTCTGAGGAGCACATTCTCCAATCTAACCTCAATCCTGAGGCTACAGCCCAGCCCCAGAGGTCTCTCTGGTCTGAGGGGAATAGAGAAGCCAGCCAGAGGTCATCGTGGGTTAGTTGTCCCAAGATGCCAGATTCCCAAAAGCTGACCCCTCACTCTGGCATTCTAGCATGCTCTGCAGTTGGAGCCCAAGACCCCCTTCTGGGCCATGGCACCAGAGGTGAGGGGACAGGCAGAGGAGTGGGCTAAAGCTCTTCTGGGGACCCATCTCCCCAGGATCCATTGCCCAACATGTCTCTGGGCACAGGCACAGGGCCCTGCTGCTAGGCCCTTACAGGAACCTCAGCCTCAGCCTTGAGATACCAGTCAGGGACACAGTCTCCTCCAGTGCCATCAACAATCTGGAAATACCTGCCCCTTGAGAGAAGCACCCCCACCCCCAGCATATCTGGTTCACTGGGGACAAATCTGACCAGAGCTGGCGTGAGTGGCTCAGGACAGCCTCTGCTCACCTCAGCCCTCAGCATTTCTCCTGTGTCCCAACTTCTTTCAGGGCATGGAGGGTGGGCAGCTGCTACTGAATTTGTCCTCACTCTGATCAGAATGGTAACCAGCCCCATGGAGGTGAGGGACCCCTGGGGCAATAAGCACAGGGCTGAGCAACACATCTCCATGGGGTGCTCAAGGAACCTGGGTGTTTTTTTTATGGGATCCCCATTCTTCCAGCCAGACTCCTAATCCAAAAAGTGCACTCCCCAGTGCTGAGGCATTGGGTTGGATGATGCAGTGAGCAGGGGGTGGAGGAGAGCTGTGAATATGGCAAGAGGAGGAGGTGGGCACTGTGGGGGCTGAGAAGGCATAGGCAGGACTGGCCATTCTTTTTTTTTTTTTTTTAGGACTGGCCATTCTTCAGATTAGGGGTACCAAGCAGAAGTGCCAGGGCAAGAGCTTGGGGCACAGAATGGAAGAGGAAGTCTTCCCTGGACATTCTGTTCATAGACTTGTGTTCACACGGTGCTCTTTGAAAATGCAAAAGTCACCCTGGTCGGTTTGGCTCAGCAGTTAGAGGCCCAAGCACTAAAGAGTCTCGGGTTCAATTCCCGTCAAGGGCATGTATCTCAGTTACTGTTTGGTCCCGGCCCTGGTCGAGATCATGCGGGAGGCAACCAATCGGTCTCTCTCTCTCTCTCTCCTCGTCTTCATCTTTGCCTCCTTCCTTCCCTCCCTCCCTTCCTCCCTCCCACTCTAATGAAGATGAATGGAAAAATGTCCTTGGGTGAGGACTTTTTTTTTCCTCACCTAAGGATATTTTTCTATTTATTTTTAGACAGAGTGTGTGTGTGTGTGTGTGTGTGTGAGAGAGAGAGAGAGAGAGAGAAACATCAGTGTGAGAGAGACACATTGGTTGCCTCTCACACGACCCCAAACAGGGCCGGGGACCAAACCACAACCAAGGTACCTGCCCTTGACTGGAGTTGAACCTGTGACTCTTTGGTCCATGGGCCAATGCTCTAACTGCTGAGCCAAAGGGCCAGGGCTCAGGTGAGGATTAAAACAAACAAACAGCTCTGGCTCAGCAGTTAGAGCGTCAGCCCTTGGATCAATGAGTCACGGGTTCGATTTCAGTCAAGGGCACATACTTTGGTTGGAGTTCATCCCCAGCTCTGGTCAGGTCATGGAGGCAACCAGTCGATGTGACTCTATCACATTGATGTTTCTCTCTTTCTCTCTCTCTCTCTCTCTCCCTCCCACTCTATCTGAGATAAATGGAAAAATATCTTTGGTAAGGATTGAAAATAAAAATTAAAAACAAAAAGAAAATGCAAATGTCCTCTGGGAGAGCTGCTCCTTCTAACTCCCTCATCTTAGTACATTCTAATTTAGCTAGATTGATAACACCTGACTCCCCCCCCCCAAAAAAAAAAAACACCTGACTCCCTGCTCTTTCTAAGGCCTGATGCTTCTGCTTGCACATGATGTTTTGGTTCACCTCCCCGCCCCCACCATCTCTGTCTACTCTCCAAGCACTAATGTACTTACAGGCTCGTTCCCTCCCTGGGGAAATTTTTCAGAGCCTTGTCCTGGTTCTCTCCACAGCCATCCCCTTCCTATACATGCAGATGGATCCAGCGTCCGCTCCCAGGATCAAGTGTGCATGCCTGCAGCCTGGCAGGACCCCTTTGAGGCTTTGCAGGCTTCCTCACCCAGCCTAATGCAACCCTGCTTCTCTCTCTCTCTTTTTTTTTTTTTAAATTTATTTTTTATCCTCACCTGGACTGGTTTGGCTCAGCGGTTAGAGTGTCGGCCTGTGGTCCACAGAGACCTGAGTTCGGTTCCTGCTAAGGGCATGTACCTCGGCTGTAGTTTGTCCCCAGCCCTGGTTGGGTCGTGCAGGTGGCAGCCACTCGATGTGTCCCTTTCACGTTGATGTTTCTCTCTCTCCCTCCTGCTCTGTCTGAATAAAAAAATGGAAAAATGTCCTCAGGTGAGGATTAAAACAAAAAATGTTTTTGTATCCTCACCTAAGGACATTTTTGCGGTGAGATTTTTGCATTTATCTTCAGATAGAGCTGGAGGAAGAAAGAGGGAGGAAGAGAGAGAGAAACATCGATGTGACAAAGACACATCGAGTGGTTACCACCCACACGATCCCTACCGAGGCTGGGGACAAACTGCAACCGAGGTATGTGCCCTTAGCCGGAACCAAACCCGGGACTCTCTGGTCTGCGAGCCGACTCTCTAACCGCTGAGCCAAACTGGCCAGGACTCTCTCTCTCTTTTTTTAATGCAAATTTATTGATTGATTTATTTTTAATCCTCTCTTGAGGATATATTTTTTTTCCATTTATCTTCAGGTAGAGTGGAAGGGAGGGAGGGAGAAAGAGCGAGAGAGAGAGGAACATCAATGTGACAGATACACATTGACTGGTTGCCTCCTGCATGACCCTGACCAGGGCCAGGGACAGAACTGCAACTGAGGTCTGTGCCCTTGACTGGAATCGAACGTGCAACTCTTTGGTCTGTGGGCCCACACTCTAACCACTGAGCCAAACCAGCCAGGGCACAACTCTGCTTCTCATTTCCACTGAGTCCTCTGGCTTCTGAGGGTTTGCTCATAATACCCCTGTTCCTGGAGACCCTTTACTTCCGGTCTCTATAGGTCCAAATCCTACAAGTCCTAATCCAGATGAGGCAAAACTGCAATGCCACTCCTCTGGGTAGCCCTCTTGCACTGTCATCTGGGAAGCCTGGCTCCCTCTCCTGAGCTCTCAGTCTTCCTTCCCTCTTGGTCTCACAAAGCTCTGCTCACCTCGCTCACCCTGGATGCTCACCTCACCTATTGGCCTAGGAGCTCCTTGAAGGCAGAGCCCACATCCAGGGGCTTGAGCCCAGGGAATATAGAGGGACACGGAGAGTGGCTGTGAGGGCTGGGCTGACCAGGAAGGGGTGAAATGAAGACCTGGACTCTACAGGGTGGGTCTCCTGACAGGGGCTGAGTAAACCGGTCAAGAGGCCCCTTGTCTGGGCCCAGGGCCCCATGCTCCTGTAGTTGGTGGGGAATTGGCTGGTGAGGATGGGAGAGGCCTAAAGCTCCAGGAGGGAAGAGCTAGAGGTGGGGGTGAGGAGGGCATTGAAGAAGTCAGGCCTGGCTGGTTTGGCTCAGCGGTAGAGCGTCGGCCCATGGACCAGTGGCTCCCGGGTTCGATTCCATCCAAGAGCACATACCTCATTGCAGTTCGTCCCCGGCCCTGGTTGGGGTCATGCGGGAGGCAACCAGTCGATGTGTCCCTCTCACGTCAATGTTTCTCTCTCTCTCCCTCTCTCTCTACCTGAAGATAAATGGAAAAATATCTTCGGGTGAGGGTAAAAAAAAAAAGAAGTCAGGCCTCTGGTCACAGCTGTGTGTGAGTCAAATACAGGCCTCTGTTTTTCACTTTGGCAATGATCTTGATTTCTCAACCCATCACCCTCAAAGAACATTGTTATTCTTATTCCAGGAGGCCAAAAGGGGAGGCCTGGGAGGGGCCAAGAGAGGCTGACTGAAGTGCCACCCTGTTGGGGAGCCTGGAGCCATGGCCAAGTTGCAGCCTGGGGTGACCCAGCCTGGCCCTGGGACGTAACTTGAGGACAGGGAAGTGAGGTGGTGGCTGGACTGGCCAGGCCAGCCCAGGAATGCGGGAAGATTTCCCTGGTTGAGAGTTGCCGGTCCCACTAGGAGGGGCCTGGTGGGTGGGGCTCTCTGGCTGACACCTGCTGACCCTGACCCAAGATTGGAAGAGGGGACAGGGATGCAAGGCTTGCTTCTCTTCATACCCTTCCTCTCTAGTGGGAATAGAAGCCCGCACCCCTGGCCCTCACTCTTCCCTGCTCCCCACTGTGTCCCTGCCAGCTTTCTGGGGTTCCCAGTCTCAGGCAGCAACTCAGCTCTCTGGGGACCTAGCTGATGGCCATTCAGGGATTTGGAACCCAGGAGCCCTGAGTTCAGGTCGTGTATTCATGCAGCCTGTGTCTTCATATGAAGGATAGGGAGAGGCCAGATGAGAATAAGCAGAGGCAACAAGCCCAGAGCTTGGCCCATGAGTGTGGACATAGGTGGGGGTAGGGGAGCAACAGCCCTGCCCATGTGGCTGTCTCAGGGGTCCTCTTGGGCCTGTGCCCACACCCTCGTTCTGCCTTCCCCACTTCACTGCCCCAGGTGGAACATCTGGACCTTTCCACCTGCCCGGGAGGCCCCATCATTAGGGCAGGGAAAGGAGGCCTGTGCTGCGCCCTAGGCCTGGCCACAGAGTGGGGGGCTTAGCTGGAGCTCCAGGCAGGGCAGAAGCAGCTCCTCTGGGAGGGGAGGAATGACTTCCTGCAATACCCAGGACTCACCAAACCGCAGCAGGAGCAGCAGGAGCAAGGCCACAGCTGGTGGCCGCCTCATGATCTCAGGCCTGGCTGGGGCACTGGCTGGGGGACAGCAGTCGTGGTATCTTCTGGAGCACTAGAGTGAGGTGCCAGCCTCCATGAAGTGGGGTTTTATGCTGGAGGTGAGTGTGAGCTCGGCTATGCCACCCAACCTGTCGGCCCGGCCTGCCCAGCTCCTGTTGGCAGGAAGGAGGCATCCTAGAACCCCGACTCCTCCATGACCTGGCCCTGAACCCCCTGAATTTCAAAGGGCCAACCCCTCACCCTAACACACCTTAGGGTCTTGGAGCAAGGGTGCACCTGCCTTATTTGGGTGCCTGTGGCCTGGGGTTTTCTGCCTGCCACCATGAACTGACCATAGACACTCCCCAGTTGATCACAGGCCTCACATAAGCAAACTGACTGCAGTTCACCTGTAGAACTTCCCTGTTTCATTCATTCATTCACTCATTCATATTTATTGAGCACCTACTATGTACCAGGCATCAGTGAGCCAGAGTTCAGGCTGAGGCTTTAATTAATGTGGGGGAGGGAGGTCGGGGTCAGGGAAAAGTCCAGGTCACCTGTACTTATGGAACAAAGAAGCCTAGGGGAAGGAATCTGGAGGTGGTGAAGTGTTCCCAGCTGACCCCAGTGCTCCTCACGGCCTCTCCCCCCAAGAAGCTGGGTCTAAGAAGTGCCCATCCAAACGTGTCATCCCAGGACCCACCCCAGGGTGGCCCTTACCCCCGCCCCCAGGGCTGCACCTTTCTCCCCCAGACCGAGGGGCAGGGTCGGGGAGGGGGCTTCCCGGAACCCGCGGGTCCTGGCAGGCGGGGCGGAAGCTGGTTCTGGGAAGGCGAGGCAGGGATGACCTTCCCCTGCGTCCCTGCCCTGGGTGCGGCCAGCCGGGCTCCAGGACGTGTAGCCAAAGCTGCGGAAGCAGCTCTAGGAGGAAGTTATTTGACACAAGGGGCTGACGTCAGAGCCGGGGTCGGATCGGGTGGCCAGTTTCCGCCCGGGCTGGAGGGTCAGGGTGGGGGCGAAGCCCTGGGCAAGGTCTGGCGCTCCCCACTAGGCCTATGATGGGGGGTGCTGGACAGCAGGCAGGGCCCTGCCGCAGTTTCCCCGCCTGCGCAATGGCTATGTGTGTGGATAGGGTGTGCGGTGGTGCACCGCAGGAGGTAGTGGGGGACCGGGGTCGCTGGCCCCTGGGCGGGGCTCGGTAGCCACCCCCACCTCCAGCCTCGATTTGACCTTGGCGGGCGCCCCTGGTCAGCGCTGCCCAGACCTCTATAGGACGCCAGTAACAGAGTCCGGCAGGCCCGGCAGGATGCTTGGGGCGGGACTATCTCTTTGGCTTCTCACTCCACCCCTTCGACGGGGGCACCCTCAATTAGGGACTGCCACCCAGGTGCTGGCCCGCCTTCTCCCTCTCCCTACCTCCCCTGCTCCTCTGCGCCCTACCCGCATTGTCCCTGGAGTTGCTGGGTGGAATGCCTGGGAGAGCTGCGCCACCTGTGGGGGCTGCAGGGAATGAGGGAGCAGAGTCTAGGAAGAAGGATTCCAGAATCATTCCTTCCTTCAAGTCTTTTTTTTTTTTTTTTTTTTTTTAGTACATTTGGTCTCCAACACTGTTCTAGTAATGGGGAATAGCGAGGTAAACAGAAGAGTCCTTAGCTTAAGGTGTGGAGGAGAAATTGTCTAATCATGCAAACTGTGTGTTTCAGTATGTCCGGAACCACATTTCTCCAGGCACCTGATGATCAATTCCCCCATCTCAGAGGTGGTTCAGACTCTTCAGCCAACTGCTTCCTCTCAGGCACCTTTCGTAGTTTTCTCTGCCATTAAAAAAAAATTTTTTTTTTCTTTATTGATGTGAGAGAGAGAGAGAGGAAGGGAGAGGGAGCTATAGAAACATCGATGAGAGAGAACATCGATTGGCCGCCTCCTGCACATCCCTCAATGGGGATCGGGCCCACAACCTGGGTGCGCGCCCTGACCGGGAATTGAACCAGTGACCTCTTGGTGCATGGATTGATGCTCAACCACTGAGCCACACCAGCCAGGCATCTGCCAAATTTTTAAAAGCCAATTCTTCTAAGGGCAGCTCCCTTAAAATCAAGTGAAGTTAAAATGTGATCAGAAAATAAAGATTCTAGAGAAAGTTGGACTTAGAGGACCCAAGTAGTCACTCCAGTGACTAGAGAAACAGCAGCCCAGATTTAACCTGACACCCTTGGGTCCGATACCTGGAGCCCCAAGGCTCAGCAGGGAACTGGGCAGGGGTGCGATGTAGGCAGGAAGCCAGGTCCATTCCTCATCCCGTCCACCAAACAAATGAGGAAGATCGGAATCCAAAGGGATTCAAGACTTAAATATGTTTTTAAGAAGTCAATCCCTTAAAAAAAATAGAAGTGGACATTTATCAACTCTGGAAGGGGAAGGAAAATTGGTTACAATTTTAAAATCAAAAGGCAAACAATAGGAAAAACACTGAGACCTTAAAGATTAAATGAATGAGGGACACAGACAAGTCACCCAAGAGGAAACCAATTTGGTTAATGGAGTTACTGAGATACGTGCAGCCTCAGCAGTTAAATGAATGCAAATCAAAACCATGGCAAAGATATGCAGTTCTCTATGGAGTTAGCATAGCACTGGAGGAATGCTTATTAGTCAATGCTGTTGGGAAATGGCCCAGTTGGTGGGGATGTAACTGGCACAGCCCTTTTGTAAATCAGTTTGCCAGTCTGTGGCCACAGCTTTTTAAAATATTTATTCCCTCGGACTCAATCACTTCACTGCTGAAGTCTAGCCTAAGAGGAATAATATAGAGAAAGCATTATGGCCAAAAATGTTAGTGGCAAGTTTCTTTATATTTGCAAAACAAACAAAAGACCAAAAAACTAATAAATAAAACGCTAGTTGGGTGATGGTAAATAAAAAATCCTCTGAAAGCTCTGGCTGGTTTGGGTCAGCAGTTATAGCGTTGGCCTTCTAATCAGAGTCCCTGGTTTGGTTCCTGCTAAGGGCACGTACCTCGGTTGCAGTTTGTCCCTGGCCCTGGTTGGGGTCATGTGGGTGGCAGCCAGTCGATGTGTCTCTCTCATGTCGATGTTTCTCTCTCTCTCTCCCTCCTCCTCTCTCTCCCGCTCTGTCTGAAGATAAATGCAAAAATGTCCTAGGGTGAGGATTAAAAAAAAAAAATCCTCTGAAAATAATTTATAAAAATGACATTTTCATGAAGACTGGGTAAATATGGAAAATGCTCATGATATAAGGGTAAATTAAAAAAGGGTAGATATGAACATTTGTAGAAAGTATAATAACTATGAAAAAAATTTTAATTTCAAAGGAACAGCAACAACGGTCCAAAAGAAACATGGCAGAATGTTCAGCAATGACTAGCCAGGAGTGGTTCTGTAGTCATGTGGATTCCTTTCAAAAGCAGATGACAGGAACTTAGACTTATGGAACACAATGGGTGTTCTGGGACCTTTGGTCCTGGTTGGTGGGACCGCCCTGTGATGCCCCAGTTGAAGAAAGAGCTGCAGGACTCAGAGTGGTTCTGACAGCCTCGCTTCTAACCCCCAGGGTGTTCTGCCTCTCTCTGATGGTGACTGCCTTCTGTAATCCTCAAGATGACTCCCAGAGCTGGGTATGTGGCCACCAGCGGAAGTCTCTTCCTTAAGGAATGCCAGCTCAGAGGACCAGGTCTCCTCTGCCTCTATCTATAGAAAGATTGTTCATTCAGAATGAACAGTTCCAGGGAAGGACATTAACTGGCCCAGCTTGACTCCTGGCCCTATGACTAACCCAGGGTGGTCACATGGCCACCATGTGACCATAGGAAAGTTTGTTCACAGAAAGGAGGAGGGAAAGATGCTGGTCAGTAAGGAGCAATAAGCACCACTCTCTCAGTCAGTGTAAGAGTGAAATAAAGACATTTTCAGACATGGAGGTATAAAAAAATTTACCCCCCTATGCACCATTCTTGGGAAACCACTAGAGGAAGATGTTCTCTGACTAAAGAAGGAATAAACCAAGAAAGTAGGAAATGTGGGCTGAAATCAAACACAGAAAAGAAGCGAAGAGAGATTCCAGAATGACAGCTGTGCCACAAGCATAGAGGGCAATCAGTCCTCATTGTAACACTGCGACACAAGAGACAGGAATGCTGACGTTGTCATCATCGTGCCCTCTGCCACTGCTCTCTTTGCAGTCTGATGAAACTATTGAATGATGTGCTCCACCAAAACAAGATTTAAATGAAGAAAGAGGAAGCCAAGAGAGCAAGGACAAAGGAAATTTAAACCAGGAAAAAGGGCCGTAGCTGGGTAGCTCATTTGGTTAGAGCATCATCCTGATACACCAAGGTTGTGGGTTCAATCTCCGGTCAGGACACATGCAAGAAACAATTAATGAATGTATAAATAAGTGGAACAAAAAAATCAATGTTTCCCTCCCTCCCTCCCTCTTTCTAAGATAAATTTTAAAAAATTAAACCAGGAGATAGGCAAATAAAACTCTAAGAATGCCATCTAAAGATACATCCCAGAGAGAAGGAAAATAGGGATTTCAAGGAGGGATGCAGCAGAGAAGAAGAAGAAAAAAAGGAAGTGATATGTTTTCTTCTTTTTTCTTTATTGATCAGAGAGAGAGGAAGAGAGCAAGAGAGAGATAGAAACATCGATGAGAGAAAACATCGATTGGCGCCTCCTGCATGCCCCCCACTAGGGATCGGGCCCACAACCTGGGCATGTGCCCTGACTGGGAATCAAACCGACAACCTCTCTGTGCATGGGTCAACGCTCAACCCCTGAGCCACCCTGGCCGGGTTCCTCAATTTTTTTTTTTTTTTATCCTCACCCGAGGATATTTTTCCATTTTTTGTACAGATAGAGTGGGAGGGAGAGAGAGAGAGAGAGAGAAACATCGACGTGAAGGGACACATCGAGTGGCTGCCACCCGCATGACCAACCAGGGCCGGGGACAAACTGCAACCGAGGTACGTGCCCTTAGCGGGAACCGAACCCGGGTCTCTCCGGACCGCAGGCCGACGCTCTAACCGCTGAGCCAAACTAGCCAGGGCCTTCAATTTTTTTTTAATTCTCACCCAAGGATATTTTTACATTAGTCTTCAGACAGAGTGGGAAGAAGGAGTGGGGAGAGAGTGAGAGAGAGAGAAACATTAATGTAAGAGAGACACATCGACTGGTTGCCATCTGCACGACCCCAACCGGGGCCGGGAACGAACCACAACTGAAGTATGTGCCCTTGGCCAGAATCAAACCTGGGACTCCCTGGTTGGTGGGTTGACGCTCTAACCACTGAGAAAAACTGGCCAGGGCAGGTTCCTCAATTTTTAAAAGCTAGTTGATAAATTAAAGTTGGCCAATCTGGTCCGGCCAGACTGATTTTTACAGAATGGAAGGGAGGAGAGGGAGAGAGAAAGAGAAACATCAATGTGTAAGAGATACATGGACTGGCTGCCTCCCCACATGCACCCCAACCAGGGCCAGGGATCGATTCCTAGTGCTCTTGACCAGCAATCAAACCTGAGACCCTTCGGTCCTCAGTTTGATGCTCTAACCACTGAACAAAATAAGCCAGGGCAACACAGCTATTTTATCCACTCATCTACTGATGAGCATTTGGCTTGTTTCTAGATCTTGCCTATTGTAAATAACTCTGCAATGAACATAGGGGTGCATATATTCTTTCAAATAAGTGTTTATGGTTTCTTAGGATATAATCCAAGCAGTGGAATTGCTGGGTCAAAAGGTATGTCCATTTTTAGTTTTCTTAGAAAATTCCATACTGTTTTCCATAGTGGTTGTACCAGTCTGCAATCCCACCAACAGTGCACTAGGGTTCCCTTTTCTCCACATTCTTGCCAGCACTATTT